TTTTTGACATTCTTTACCTCGTTGAGTAGCTATTGACATCCCCCGTCCATATAGATAGTTTTCAACACCATTTGACTCCATCAAGAATTTGGCATTTTGGCATCTTTGCCTCGGCCATCCACCATATCATCCGCAAAACCACCATAACTTTCCGCAACCTAACCCATTTTTGATCCATATAGCATTTGTGGTTGCTTGAGTGGTGACTTGAGTCTCCTAAGGTGTTTCGGCTACTTAGGGACGGCTGCTTCGTCATCAACAACCACCACCACTTCCGCATTGCTAACTCCGGAACCACCAACGCATTCCGCTACCACCATTTGACATTTTCCTTGAGATTTTGAGTTCGCGGTTTTTTACCGTTTCCTAAGGTGTTTCGGCTACTTAGGGACGGGTCTACATCATCTTGGTATCTACATCAAGAACACCGTCACTCATCATCGCCACGAGGTCGTCATTGACATTGACCACTTCACCATTTTGACAACCTAACCGTAAGCAAGAACGGTAACCTCCATATCACCTTGGTATTGTGGTATCCTATCATTGTACATTCTTGCCATTACATTGTTAACCCCTTAGCCCATTTTGCGTCACTTTCCTATCGAGACTAGCCATTTGAGTATTGCCGGCAACGTTACTTGTGCACATTAGTGATCCATACCTTCCATTGCATACATACCATATCATATTGGTATCATCGAGGTATCATCATATCATCCCTTGTGTCACAAGATCGTTCCCGCATATACACAATTGCTATCTTGGTTTGTGCATTTTGCGTAAGTGGCCATATAAAAAAAGGAATAAGCTTTTAAGCAAAAAGAGAGCAAAGAGCTTGTGAGCAAGAGCCATAGCATCATACCACATTGCACATAAGATTGTCATATCCGATCATCTTGGATCATCGTGTGCGAAACACCGGGAACATCATACACATAGCATACTTGGGATAGAAAGCTCATACATCTTGCATCTTATAGGTTCTGCACAAGTGTCGTATCCGCCTATTGAGCAATCGTGCTAGCATCTCTCTTGAGTTGTGCAACACGAGCGTTTTCTGTGGATTCCACATTTGTGCTCATTCCTTGGTTGCACGACCCCATTTATCTATCCGTGTGTGTGTTTCCGTGTGCCACATATTGCTATTGGTCTACTTGTTTCACTTGCGAATTTGTGAATCTTTTCCAACATTATTGACTCTTGCTAACATTTGCATCAAATTTTTGTGCCACTATCCTCACCGAGCTCCACTATAAGCTTTACTTGATAGGTGTGAGCGAACAAGTCCGGTACCAATTCCACTATTGTTTCATCTCACATTGAGTGAAACGGGATAGATCTTCAACTTTGGGAAAAGGTAACTTGGTATTGTTTATCTCATTTCCTACTCACCTCTACTCGAGTCTTGTGATGGATAGGCAAGGCATTTCATCTCCGGTCTTCCACGACAACGACAACGCGAACAACTACATCACCAAAACGTCCATCTTCGGACTACAATGAGCAATGCAAGGCATTGAGCGACTCGCCATCGACATTCGCCAAAACGAAGCAAGTATAAGGGACTACCTCGACACCAAGTTGGCCGAACAAAGGGATCGAGTACGAGACATGATGGCCAACTACAAGTCTTCTTCCCCTTTGTCATCTTCAAGGCAGCGACGCTCAAGTGGCCAATCTTCGGAACATCATCGAGCTCAAGCACTACAACACCATCAAGATGAAGATGCTCGCGATGCGTACACCTACAAGTCCCAAAAAGCTCTACATCAAGCTATGGCCAAACTTCGTGAGCACAAGAGAAGACTGCGAGACAAGCACCACCAAGACGGAGCTACGACCACTTCGGCATCTTCGCCAAGTGTCATCAAGGCATCTTTGCCTTTGGACGTATGGCATCTTCGCCTACCTCCGACGAGTACGCCTACTTCGGCCTTCCTCCACGGCGACGGTGATGAGATGATCGAGCATGGGATTTTCCCTTCAGTCATGGAGGAGAGCGATGGTGTGCCATCTTCGGCCTTCATCCACGATGACGACGACGAGATGGGTGAGCATGGGATTTTCCCTTCGACCACGACGATGTATGATGACTTGAGTGACTTGTGGCACCATATTGAGAGTGAGAGTGACTTCACCACTAGCCCCATATATGACGAGTTGTCCCAATTCCCATGCGAGGAGAGCCACCACCACCACCACTTGAGTGATTTGAGTGACTCCACCATATGTGACATTGAGTGCACCTACCTTGAGGGAGTGAGTGAGCCACCACCACATAGAGAGGTTAAGTCTACTTGTTTCCATGATGTCCTTGATTGTGCTCAATTTATGTGCTTACATGCCATGCCACACCCCCTTGTCACACCATATGCTATGCTTGATGACAACACTTGTTTGGTGAATCACCTCTCGAATGCTTGGTTTTGCTCTAACGCTAACCATATTTGTTTTTCGAAGTGTTTGTTCTAATTGCTAATTTTGAAGGAATCACAAGACGGTGCGACATCAGAGAGTGACCATTTCGAGCTTGACGATGATGAGTGCTTGGTGGTTGTCCACTTCTACACGGCGACGCCATCTCTTTCCCATGGTGATGAAGATCACGATCCGTGGACGGATCTCTCCCAAGGGGGGGGGGGAGATGATGCGGAGCATCCCTCGTCCATCCACATGGACACGCCATCACCATCGCAAGCACCGAGAGGACCGATGACAAGAGCACGTGCACGCAACATCGACAACGAGGTCACTTCTTTCCTCTTCGAGTCTCGTTTGGAATCGCATATGAATCAGATCCTACCTCAATCCGAGACGTTGTGCATTCTTAGGTACTTGGGAGATCGTCACGAGGAAGCACGGAGGGAAACACCAAGTTCACCCGGAGACACATGGAGGAAGGAGAAGGAAGATGGGCAAGAAGGAGTGGAGCCACTGGACAACCCGGGTGCCCGGCCGTCGGCTGTGCTGGGCCTGGCCGCCCCGGGTGCCCGGCCAGGAGGACCCGGGTGCCCGGCCCCTCTCGCTGGAGCTGCTGCCTTCCACCCCGGGTGCCTGGGCCTTGCTTCCTCGGGTGCCCGGCCCATGCCCCCAGCCGCCTGGCGCGCCCCCGGGTGCCCGGCCCATCTACAGCCGGCCCTGTCCAGCCCGGGTGCCCGGGCCATCTACAGCCGGCCCTGTCCAGCCCGGGTGCCCGGCCCTTCGGCCCTGGGTGCCCGGCCACCTACAGCCGCACCACCTCCGGGTGCCCGGTCCTCTTTGCACCGGGTGCCCAGATCACTCCATGAATGCATGGGTGCAAGTTGCGGTTTTTGCCCTTGTAACCCTCTCCCTCTCATATTTCGCCCCTAGACTATAAGTACCCCCACCTAGCTCATTAGAGGGATAGCAAAGAATAGACACAAATCATAAAGCTTAGCTCATGTACCTCCCCTTGTGGGATTCCTCTTGAGAGAGAAGACTCCATTGGGGTGCAAGACCTCCATTGGAGAAGATCCCTAGGGATTCAAGCCCCCCTTGAGGGAAGGATCTACCTAGATCATCAAGCCTCATCTCCTTCATAGGATTTGGGATGAACTCTACCATGTATCTTGTTTCCCATTGATTGTTCATGTACCTTGTGGATCTTGTGTGATTGTCGGTCTAGTGAATGTGTGATTGGACTCGTTCTTGAGTGTTCCTCTTGTTTTCTCTCTTGTGTTCATCTTGTTCTTGGGGATTCCCCCTCCAATTCGTGAAAGATCTTCACTTAGGGTTCCACCCTACAACACCCTACATGTATTAAGATTGTACCAGAACTGAATTACTTATGTCACAACTAATTAATAAGCATACAGTTCAGTTATGTACAAATGATTCAGAACAAACTTGTGGAGAATAAATTACAGAAATAAGGTTCTGCTTGATGTTTCTTACATAAAAAAAATTATGGGTCTCTTTTCAAACCTGTATTTTTTTATTAGTAGATGGCCAAGAAGGCGACTCAACTTACAAGTCGTGATCCAGAAACCAAAATAATAGTAAGAACACAAGCAAAATAGAGAAATTAAGCAAAGTATTTTCCGTGTAATCCTCCATAGCATCTTTAAATAAAGCAAGGCATCCATCATACCAAACCATAACATTGAAGATTACAGATTTTTTTCAACTTCCATATTACAAGCAGACTGCAACTCCGTCTCCAAATTGCTGAAAAGGGGGCTCAATAGTTATTTGCTCTAATTCGAAACTTGGGTTCACCTTTAGTATTTTGGTCGTATCTCACAAATCATAAATTCAATTTGAACAAAATTGCACCTGTTGGCTTAGAACGAACGACATGACCTCCACGATTGACTTAATTTGGTAGTAAGCACTGTTTAATTCCAGTTAGACTAGTAAGTTTACTGGCTCAGACAAGCAAAGCTCAAATCATTACTTGGCATGAGTTTTCCAATCCATGTATCTACTTTCCATCTAAGGCTAATTGGGGTTTACTTTTTTTGAATTTTAATTGGGGTTTACTTTTGCTGCATTGAATCACACATTCATGCCAAACTCACGAGAGTGTTCATAATGAGGAAAAAAGTGCTCATAATGAGGGGGAAAAATGTTCATAATTTCCATTACATAGAGAACGCATGATGAAGCAAAACTGAGGAGCAGAAGACATAGCTGCAACATAGGGAGGCTACTGGTGGAGGTGAGAGGCGATAAATGTCGAGGTGGAGTGCCTCACCGTGGTAGAGATGTCGGCCGTGTCGATGGGATAACAGAGGTGAGGAAGACAACTGAGATGGTAACTGGTGAGGGGAACATATCACGTGTTGCTGAATCAAGCCTTTAGTGATACTTACCAGTTCCAGTGATACTTGTCAGCCTAAAAAGATTTGGTCACATCTGGAGATGAAGTCAAATTCATTGTCCAGGATAAAAATAGTTAAACACTTTTTCACTGCAAATGGTATGCATATCTTACTAGTGTAAAAATAGATCAGTGATGAACTTGTGTTCTTGTTTTACTTTCTGAACTGTGCATGACCAAAGCCTCCAGAGCCAAACTGAAAAATGAAAAAGTATCAATACAATGAGTTTGAGTGGTACTGACAACAGTCTGGGACAACAAATTCACAACGTATTTTTGGCATAATAATTCAGTGCGTTGATATAACCACAAAGTACATAATTTCCAAATACAGATATACTTTGTCATGATCTCAGAAAAAATACCTGTTTAGGTGCACGATCTTTGTCTGACAGATATAGATATATTCCTCGACAAAGTCCAATAAGCTCCGCACTAACAACGACATTCAACTCAACAGAAAAGCCCTGTGTTATAGACGAAAATATATCCTTTCTAACAAACTGCCTCAGCTCAGCCTGGTTTGTTGCAACAGCAAGGTGAATCAATGCACCATAAAAGGGTATTACTGAGAGAGCGCCCCTGTTGAGAGTCGAGCGAGAGAAGCACGTCCCGGCCCGATCCCCAATCTTCCCCGGCGGCGATGCCGGCTGGAGGAGAGAAGGGAGAGGAGCACGGAGGAGCTATGTATATATTAAGTCTAAGTTGAGTCTTACCCCTGTGGCGTCTGGCGCTATGCCGAGGTGGAGTGTACCGCCGCCGCGTTCGAGCAGCGGCCGGTGGTTAGCGGTGGCTGCAGTCCTGGCTGCGCTGGTGTGCCAGTTGCTTGTCAGGAGTGGGTTGCCGGTGACTCCACGAATAAGCTCGTTTGGTCCGCTGATCTGGAGGAGGTCCTTATTTTCCTCTGCTTCCAAGGTTACCATGGTGGTGAAGGAGGAAGAGAGGAAAGATGGAGATCCAGTTCGGGTTCGCGCTCATCACCGACGGAGATCTTGGATGGCCTATGGCTCCCGCTGTTGCGGTCGATGCCGGCCGTCGCCGCCGAATCCTCTGACCGAATGGCGGTCTTTCTTCTTCCTCCCGGCCAAGAGCCAGATGGGAGGCACTGCAGCTTCATCCTGGAGTTCGTGGCGTGGTGTCATGGAGGGCTCGCCGTACCAAGTGGTGCCGTCCCCGGTGAAGACGAGTCAAGTTTCAGGCTGGAGTTGCCAGGGACCCGATTGCTTTTTTCATCAATTTTCTGGGGTCCTCTTTGTAATAGTCAGGGACCGGTTAGTGTTTTCCTTTTTCGTTCAGGGTCCTGATGTAAAATCGCTGTGTACTGCTCCTTTCTAATCAATGCAGCTTCGGGGTCCTTCTGGGCCCTTAGTTTGTTCAAAAAAAAAAATAAAAAAAAATAAAAGGGTATTACTTTAGTCACTTCTTCACTATCTGTCCAAGTGAACACTTCAATAGTTATTCTCAAAGCAGTTAGGGTAATGTCAACATTAAGCATAAGAAATCTGTAAATAAATAGTAGCAGTCAGTCTTTGTTCATCTGTTAAGGTGCTGCTCGATGAAATTTAAGAACTAAGGTATACACACATATGTGGCAAGAAATTTTTCTAGTACCCAATAAGAGAGCTGGAAGCAAATGATTCCAGACTTTTAAGAGAAGAATCAATCCGGTTGACAGTTCCAAGTTGTTCCAAAGATGGAAGTCTACTCTCAAACTAGGTAATGCTAAAACCCAAAGCACAGAACAAACTTCACGAGTCAAGTCTTGTAATAGCCTCTCTTCCATCACCTCTACCTTAAGTTCTGACCCAGAAACATTACCGAAGTTATCAGGAACCTGACCTGCTCTTTTCACTCACAAAATAAACAACACACAGAGAGCCACTCAGGACAAACGATAGCCAAAGAATAAATTTTGAATGGTCTCTTGTACAAATAAAAATGAACATCTCTCCGTCTTTGATTTCTTACTACAAAAGACCATGCATTTGACATGTACAACAATGATTTATACTGATTTGCAATGTACGATTGTTCTTAAGAAAATTGTTGACTAGGTAACAGAAAGAAAAAAAAAGAAGTGGTACTTGACTCGGTGGTGGATCTCTAGATGGACGCCGCCAAGGAAGGGCGTGCTGGCCGGGGGCGCCGTCGAGGGAGGGCGCGCTGCGGCGCTGCAGGTGGCACGGGGGCGGGGGAGCCGCCGAGGGACACCGCCCTGGGACGTGGTGGGCGGCACGGGGCTGGGGCGCTGCAGAGGGAGGCCGCGCGGGGGCGTGACGGGCCGCAAGGAGCCGGGGGGCAGCGCCACCGTGGGAGGGTGCGAGGAGCAGCGACGGCTGGTGGCAGGGTGGGCGTCCGAGTGAGGGCTCGGCGGCCGGCGGCGTGGGTGGTTCCGCGAGTCGTGCGTGGGAGGTGGGGTGCTGATTTTTTTCGTTGACCAGAGGACCAGATAGGATGCGCAGATGGCAGAGTTTTGTCCGCTCATGTAAATTGCTAAACATACACAGGAGAGGATTACTTTTTATGTGGACGGTTAGATGTAATTAGGTGGATCTAATCGTGAGGTGGTATTTTGTCTGAGCTGTCCTTTGTACATGTTTCTGGGTGCGTTTAGAGATGAACATGTTTGTTTATTTAATAGTAGTATAGAATAGCTCACGCAATACATCTATTTGCTCGCGCTACCCATCACACATGGCGTCTGGTGGGGGGCGCCATATTTCGCCTCCTGACAGGGTTGTATTCCGATAGCTCTAACTTTTGCATACGAACTCGTATTGGGATGATTTTTATATCAAAATCGATCGTTTCGACGAGACGAAGACAATTCCTGTAGATCATTTTTCCATAAGAGGCAGTCTTGAGAGCGTAATAATCCTAATAGTGTTCTGGATACAAAATCTCAGTACTTCGAACATAACTTCGGCCTTAGAGATGAGACCGGATGGCTATGGCCCAAATATCAAAGTTTCTCATTTTGACGATATGAAACTTATCACATTGAGCACTTTTCCATTTGAGGTCTTCTTAATTATGCTTTTGACCATGCCAAAATTTGGTGTCAACAAGGACAATGCACACAACCAGGAGCAAGAGTATTGTACCATATCTTAGCATCACACTTTAAAGAGAAAGGAAACAACTTAAGAATTTAATAGTAGTGAATTTTCTTATCATGAGCAAATAGGGTAGCTATATCATTTAGTTTAGTAAGATGTGCCACAACAGTTTTAGTTTCATAGCCATGGAAAGGATCAGATTCAATCAAAGTAATTAACTCTGGGTCGACAGAGAATTCATAATCCTTATCAGTAATAAAGATAGGTGAAGTAGAAAACTTAGAATCACATTTCATTCTAGAATTCAAAGATTTTTATTTCAACTTGCATAATAACTCACTAAGATCATCTCTATCCTTACAAGCAAGAAAGTCTCTAGCTACCTCTCCATCCATAACATAAGCCTAAGGTATTTTAGGCAATTCATATCTAGGAGAGCTAGGTCTAATAGGTGTTTCATAATTCTTAGTTTCAAAGACTTCATTAGTTTCAGTAATTTCATTAGTTTCAGCATTCTCAATATTTTTAGCTCTAGCAAGTTGTTCATCTAGTGCTCATGAAAACTTCAACCAGTGTAGCCCCCAAGGGCCGGGTCATTATGCAATAATGAGCAGGGACTTTGTAGATATAATCATGTAAATTTGAACAGCAATGTGTAGCCCCCAAGGGCCGGCTTAGTAAGATAATATTGAGCTGGGACTTTGTATATAATTGATAATAACATCATATAATATAGTCTCCACCATGGGGCTTGAACCCACGTCCACAAGGTTAAGAGCTTTGTACTCCACCAACTGAATAGTGGACCGTTCAACATAATGAATTAATGCTTGTGTACCTTAAATTTTTGACAGGAGCAATTGGTAGCCCACAAGGGCCAACTCATTTAGAATGTGATGAGTCGGGTCTTCAATAAGTTGAGCAAAAAAATGACTTTGCATTAGCCCCCAAGTACCATGGTGCATGCTGGCAGTGACATGGGACTTGCATATTTGATATAATCCCAATCAGAATAATGTAGCCCCCAAGTGTCGGGTCGTAAGCCTGCAGCGACTCGGGACTATTCCTTCCATTGTAGAATAAATCATATCCATTGATAAAAATAATAGCCATTGCGCTAAAGTGACTTTGAAAACCTCAACCATAACACTGGTTATTGATAATCATAATAGAAATCCAGCCATGTTGGCTATTCAAGATTTGAATAATATAATCCGGTATGAAAACCTCAATCATTCAACATCATCATAAAAATCCAGCCAGTTTTGGCTATTAAAGATTTGAATACCTCATCAGTTGACAAGTAAATCCGGAGTTTAAATACCTGGCGGCTCTTGGCCGATGACGACTTAATGCACATTCATTGTAAGCCGGAATTTTTGTAACCCGGTGGCCTATAGCCCTTGAGAAAATCAATAATTGATAACCCTTTTGAGACACCAATTTCAGTGATGAGCTTGGACTGAAGTATTTATATAAGTCATAATTCTGCAAATCCTGCACAGAGTTTAAACAACATATGCCCTAACAACTTAACTTCAAGAGCCAGGGTGGGTAACCACCCAAATGTAGTCTTACTCTGCACACAAGTAGATCACAAGAACCCTTGGCGGTTTACCGCAGGCCGGGTCATAATACCTCACATATAACCACTGTGATATTGAATTTGTACTGACGGTTTACATGACCTGTGCAGTAAGGGTGATAACCCAATCCTTAGAAGCCAATGCTTCCACATAGATGATGATTGTCATAAGCTGGCGACTTATAGTCAAAAGTCAAGCTGGGTTAAGCATAAAACACTTATATACATTTGAGATGTAATCCAAAAAAGGTCTCAAGTCAAACCCAAAATTGTTCGCAAAAAAGACTTAAAAAATTTCAGGCTTCTAATTCGTATATGATCAGAAAACCGTTCCAACGGGGTTGAGCGAAGAATCGAATACGATCATATAGCCCCCAGTGGCTTTGGCGTTGCCGATCAAGAGGGTACCGACAGCTATGTTCTCTTTGGTTCGAATATGACCTAAGTTTGAACAGGAAGCCCCCAAATGACCTTGAGAGTTGTTTAACGACGCTGATTCGAATACGATCCACGTCGGACCCAAAAGAGGTTAAGCTATGATTCAGATACGATCAAGAAGCCCCCAAGTGAGTTTGGCAGTGTGCCGATCAAAAGGGTTTCGACAGCTATGTTCTCTTTGGTTCGAATACGACCTATGTTTGAACAGGAAGCCCCCAAGTGACCATATATTAGCATTGCACCGATCAAGAGGGTACCGACAGCTATGCTCGATGAGCAGGAAGCCCCCAAGTGACCATAATAAGATAAGCCGTAAGCAGGATACCTATATTTGAACTGCGCATCATGGTAACAAGTTCTTTTTGGCAACCTTTAATTTTTCTAGAACTCGAACTTGCGAGAGATTAATTCTTTTTGAACCGGAACTTTAAACCGGATTTGAAAGCTTCAAAACTTTGTGAGAGACAAATTTACCTTGAGCCGGATTTGAGAGCTTCAAAGCCTTGTGGTAAATAAATTTCCCTTGAACTGGTTTTTAAATAGGATATTAAGAGTGTCAGTGCTTTGTGGGAGAGAGATGTCTCTTGAACCAGATTTTAAACCGGAATCCTTCTTTTTTAGTCAGAAATTTTCTGACGGCCTTTAAATTTTTCACCAATATAGTGGTAGCCTCTGGAACCGGGTTACCTTCCCTCCAATGACCCGGAGTTCTTGAATTCACTAACACCGGCCAATATCGCCGAGTCATGTCATTGTAGCCCCCGAGTCTTAAGACGACTCGAGGAGTTGTCTTGAGATTCTTCATATTTGACCATGATATAAACCGGTACGAGTCATTCAACATCTTAGTGATATAACTTGTCCTGCACTGGAGAACTTGAAAGCCAGAGTAATTGCTCTTTTAAAGAAAGCAATATATAATATAAAATATACTGGATGAATTTCACCTGATGGGTCAGGTCAGTAATTATCACCGCGGAATTGATGATCACCATGGTGATGCTGAAATCAATCACGGCCGAGCCGGCCGCGGGAGCAGACAGATGATGTCGTGGAATTGTCACGTCAGATGTCCTTAGTGTCAGGACTTAGTCGCGAGGCCAACGCATCTATGTGGTAGCTTGAGAGGGGTTGAGCGGAATCGAGAGACTCAACATAAGACAGGGATTTAGACAACTTCGGGCCCGGGAAACATCATCCGGTAAAAACCCTACATGCTGTTTGAGGCTAGGTCTCATTATCATCACGAAGGAGTCGCCGTAAACCGGCTCTCCTCTTTGTGTCTAGCCCTAAGACTGTTTCTCTTGCTTGTCGCTTGTCCCTCTTTGGGGAGCCCTGCCCCTCCTTATATATGTTGAAGGGGCGGGTTACATGTGGAGTCCTATTAGGATTAGGACTAGTCTATCTCTAATG